CGGCTACTGATCTATTGACCTATGGGTCTTTATAAATTATCGTTCCTATTACAAAGGTCCTGGAGTTGTGAGATGGGGAGGGGATCAGGGAAAGGGAAGAGGTAAGTGATGAGAAACTCACACCTGCTTCTCAGAATTAATTTATTTTTCAGGTAATCCCAACCTTGTTTGCAATCAGGAGAGCGTTAAACTCCTTAAGACGTACACATTCCCCCAAACAGGTCATCTCTAAAGCTAGGGGATGCTCGTGGATTCGGGAAGAGCATCCACGTTCATACCCTTCCATCCTCTTTTCTGACTACCTGCGGGTAAGTATCCCCACCACCTTTTAATTGCCATCATCAAATGTACTTTTCAGTCCCGGCCATGCAAATAGCACAGAGGAGGGACTTCTGTGACTGCGGGGCACTCACTGCACAAGAATCTGTGTGTCTGTCACTTTAGGGGAATGGGTTTTTTTTTTTTTTTTTTTTGGCCTCTTTTTCAGTCTTAAGGAAGAAGTGGCCTCTCAGATTACTTACAAAGAGCAAACTCTCGTGCCAAGACGCTAAGAAGCAGGAGTGGACATCGGATACAGTACAGCCCACATGTTTTTCCAAGAAATCCTAACCCTGTGGTGGGAGGGCCTGTGGTGAACTCAGAAGGTCACAAATGCTAGAGGTGGAAGATAAGAGATTAGACAGCATTCTGGAATTGTTACCTTGCCATTATTTACCTCAGAGACTTTTCTGGCAAGGAACCCTTTAAAAAAAAAAAAAAGGCAATAGCTAGATTTGTGATAAAATTAGTGATATGAGAAGTGAAAATGAGGCAAACCCCATTACAGAGGAAGTTAATTTGCCTTTGTAGTCAACTGGTTTTCCTCATCAGAAGTGAAAAGATAGATACTGCCACACATTAAAAATCGCCAACAGGAACAATGATAATCAAAATAGTGACAACCCTATAGATCCAGAGCCGCTAAGGTGTTTTTTTTTTTGTCCTGAAAGATGGGAAAAGGATGTGTGTGTGGGTGTGTGTACAAAGAAAGAGACAGGCAGTCAGAGAGATCCAGAGATAGAGAGAGACACACCCAGACAAAAAAGGGCAAGAAATCTAAGTGGGAGTCTATTAAAAAAAACGCTACCAGAAGTGGACTCAGGGGCTCTATCTAGTATCATGGGGTGGGGGCTGGGTCCTTCCCCCCTCAGAGGCTGTGACTCTATCTCAGGTTTTCTGAAAGGGTTTTGATTTAATGAGGTTTCTTTGTTTTTGGTCAAGGTGATGCATTCGGTGGACAATTAAATGCCATTTATTTTTTATGCTCTGCAAGAATTTTCATCTAAACGTGATGAACATGATGCGAATAAAAGAGTCCCAAGATAGGCTATCTGTCATCAGTTTTGGTTCTGAAAGGATGGCAGCTTCAGGGATGTCAGCGCACTAACTCTACTAGCCACTGGGTACCATGGTTTGATATGACCAAATCCAGACCCAGGAACATCCAGGATGTTTCCATTGGAATGAGGAAAATGCTCAAAACAAAACAAAACAAACAAAAACCTCTTTGGACAAAGGTTTGACACCATGGTCGTGATCATTACTAAGTGATGTCAGAAAAGGTAGGTGCCTTTGCTACTTCTAACTTTCTACCTTCTCCAAACTCTCCACCACTCCCTGCCTAGATGATGGAGTTGACATTTTAGGAGTGACCAAACCCTAGAGATGAAATCAATATTCCTATGCTCTATTCATGATCAGGGCTCAGTTCTTCCCAAAGGGACTGGCCACATAGGACGTAGCAATTCCTAGGGGGGATTCTCAGTTATTCTGAGGGAATGGAGATGCTCCTTTCCTTGCCCACAGCCTTGGGGTCTAAGGGGAATGCTTACTTCCAAGTTGAGATATGGCTTCTGAGTTGCAGGTGGTCATAATTCACCAACTTGGCACCAGACGGTCACAAGCCCCAAAGACTTCTTCTCTATTGAGAAGGCTACACACAAAGTCTTGTATTTGGAGTCAGTATGTCCCTTCCCATTTTTTCCTCCCAAATCCAGGCATTTTAGCTATAGTGGTGGGACTATGGGGTCCTGGGACCAGGAAAAGACCTTCTGCCAGTCAGGAAGAAGGCGGACCAGGGGTTGAGGTAAAGTTGGAGGACTAGAGTCTGGATTTCTCTTTGGATCCTGAGTGCCACACATCAGTCCAAGGGCGGAAGTGAAGGATAAAATTTTGTCTCAGCACCAAATCAACATGCTTTGCGTGACTTTTTAGAAAACAACTGGTCAAGGAAGCAACAGAAAACGGTCATGGACATCAGTGGTGTGGTTAGAAAGATGCAGCAAAAATTTCAAAAAGGATGGTCCGTATATTTACTCATTAGAAAACAAATGGATCTCTGGGCCTCTCAGTAGGTGGCCTGGGTGGAGTCCAGTTCTTTCTGGAGGTAATTAGGTTTTAACCTTTTTACTCTGTGAGGGTCAGGGAATCTTGTGAGAATGTTGGAGAAGCTCTAGCCCTGCGCTGTCCAAGGTGGCCACGAGCCATGTGATGCGGCTGACAGCTGGACAAATGGCCAGTCCGAACGGAGAGGTGTGTGAGTGTAAAGCATACACTGCCCTTAGAAGATTTAGTACGGAAAAAGAACGTCAAGTATTTCGTGAGTACTTTTTACACTAATTACGTGTCAAAACAATAATATTGGCTTAAAGAAGGATATTATTAAAATTACTTTTACCTGTTTCCTTTTGCTTTTTAAAAATGTGGCCAGTAGAAAATTACATGTGGGACGTGTACTATATTTCTGTTGAACAGTGCTGGTCTAGACACTAAAGAAAAATACACGTCAAGTCTTCATACACCTCTAGAAGGTTCCCACACCCTTTGATACTCTTTGAGCTACCGGGGCCCCAGGTCAGAATTTCTTCTTCGTTGGGGAGGAGGTGAAGCAGGCTGTGGAGGAAGGATTGTTTCCATTTTTTTTTTTTTTTTGAACACGTCCCATGCCAGTTAAGCTTTTTTGTTGTTGTTTGTTTAAAACTACCAAAGCCATAAGAAAATTCTTCAGAAACAAACCTTCGGTAAAGGAGAAACTTCTAGGCTCAGCGAGTTTGCAGCAGAACCTCTTTGGGGTCAGGTCCACAGGCCTCAGATTGGCCGGCTGGGCCCCTCATCCCCTATGCAGCATCTTATAGGGGCTGCTGGGCCACAGCGCACATAAGCACCCAATTCCTGATCTACCTGGTCGCTGGCAGGAAGAGAGAACACCCATCAATCCAAAAGGCATTTTCTCTCTGGGCATGGAATACAACTTATATTTCCTTTGCTGTTGAATTGTCCTTCTAATTCCCCTTGACTTAATACCAAAATTTGTTTTGGGCAAAGCTGACTGAAGGAGAGGTCGGCGGTGCAGGCCTTTGCTGACCAGGAAAAAGAAATACCTGGAGACGAAGAATTCCACACTGAGAACGAGGATTTGAAAGTATCCAGAGACTGCAAACTCTGTGACTAAGTGTGGTTTTTGTTTTTATTTTGTTTGGCTGCGTTGGGTCATCGTTGCTGCACGCGGGCTTTTCTCTAGTTGCGGCGAGCAGGGGCTACTCTTCGTTGTGGTGCACGGGCTTCTCACTGCAGTGGCTTCTCTTGTTGCGGAGCATGGGCTCTAGGTGCGCGGGCTTCAGTAGTTGTGGCACACGGGCTTCGGTAGTTGTGGCTCGCAGGCTCTAGCGCACAGGCTCAGTAGTTGTGGTGCACGGGCTTAGTTGCTCTGCGGCACGTGGGATCTTCTTGGACCAGGGCTCAAACCCGTGTCCCCTGCATTGGCAGGCGGATTCTTAACCACTGAGCCACCAGGGAAGCCCTAAGTGTGGTTTTTAAAACAAGGCAAAACAAAACAACTCCTACTTGCACTTAAAATTCAGTCATTTAGATAGTCTCAGCCACACAAGAGTGCCAAATCCCAAAAGCTGTTATATGTTACATGTCAAGTAACTGTGCCTCCCCAAGGTAGACAGTCTGCTATATGTCATAGCTCTCTGTCAAAAATGGATCCCCCGGGGCTTCCCTGGTGGCGCAGTGGTTGAGAGTCCGCCTGCCGATGCAGGGGACGCGGGTTCGTGCCCCGGTCCAGGAAGATCCCACGTGCCGCGGAGCGCCTGGGCCCGTGAGCCATGGCCGCTGAGCCTGCGCGTCCAGAGCCTGTGCTCTGCAACGGGAGAGGCCACAACAGTGAGAGGCCCGCAAAAAACAAACAAACAAAAAGCATCCCCCGGCAAAATGCTCATTAGTGGTCCTAAGACCAGAAGGAGGCTTGGGCATCATCTTGTTAATCTCATTCACTTACAGATGGAGAAGCCGAGGCCAGCACGCACGCTGCTCGTCTATGCCTCCTGACTCCTGGTTTGGCACTGCCTTCGTGTCTCCCTGCCTGGAGACCCTGGATTTCATCACTGCAAGTGTTGGACTCCTAGAGAGAGGTGACATTTGTGAAGGTGGTGATCCTTTTCCTTGCTTTGCTGCCTACTTAGAAAGTGTCAAATAGGAAATTGTTCAAGGTGGTGAAAAAAGAGCAGCCAGGGGTCTCCCTTGACACGTACACCGTGTTCCAGCAGGCAGCAAGCTCTTACAGCAGAACGAAACTCTGTTTTTGCATGAGTATGCATGTAGCGAGAAGAAGGGCCTCGTCACATACATAAATAACTCAGTGAGAGAAGCTTTCTCTCCCAGGTAACCCACACAGCAGCATGGCCTTTCGCGGATGTCGAGGTGGTCCAGAGAAGCTATTCACACTGCCTTAGTCATCCCTGCCCCTGGAGAGTCTCAATGTATTACAAAACTGCCCACTGAAAAAAATAGCACACTTCTGTCAAAAAAAGAATAAAAACAAACAGTTTAAAAACACCGGTGGGGGGGCTTCCCTGGTGGCACAGTGGTTGAGAGTCCGCCTGCCGATGCAGGGGACACGGGTTCGTGCCCCGGTCCGGGAAGATCCTACATGCCGCGGAGCGGCTGGGCCCGTGAGCCATGGCCGCCGAGCCTGAGCGTCCGGAGCCTGTGCTCCGCAGCGGGAGAGGCCACAACAGTGAGAGGCCGGCGTACCGCAAACAAACAAAAAAAAACACCGGTGGATTTTTAGAATTCACTTTGATACCTCGTTTCCTTTCCCTCTTTGTTTCTCTCAGTCAGGAGAAACTTGACATCAACAATTCCCATGCTGTACTTTTTAGATCAAATGGTTTATCAAATCACACCTCCCTCCTCACTTGGTATCTAGAAGCAGTCAGGGGAGCCCTGGGAAGCAATTTCTTAAGGATTTACCTAAATCCTCCCTCGAGGTCTGGCGAGGTTGAACAGAAGCATATTGGAATTAAGGTAAGACCTAGATGCTACTGCAGCCCTCACTGTGTTGGATCCAAAGATGACTGGATCTCTTCTAAAGCTTCCATCTCCTGCAGAACGCATTTGTGGAGGTAACAAAAGACTGCTGTAGCCTTGGGGAAACAGACATTTTGCTTTCGGGAAGAGTATATGGTATCTGGTTTGAAAACTAGGCTTGCAGTCCCAGTGACAGACAAGCCCTACAGCCACAGAGAATGGCGCTAATGCCCTAGTGGGAACTTGTGAGTTCAGAATTTCAGCCAAAGACTCTTAAGAATCAGATGGATTGAAATGCCTCCCTAGAGCTTCCTTCTCAAGTCACGTGGGTCCTCAACAGAGCCTGGCAAGTGGAAGCCAGCGTGTGGAGCTAAAAAAAATGAGCAGTGGCCTCAGCAGTTTCAGAGCTTGGTGTTGGGGTCTCTGGCAGCTGGCATTTCCAAGATCCACTTAAAAGAATTCAGATTCTAAACGAAAGCTGGCCTTAGACTGTTTCAACGTGCTGAGGCACTTCCTAAAGCCATGCACACTTCATGCTGAGAGGTCAAGGCCGTTAATCTCAGAGATGGAATACAAACTGGTCATAGCAGGAACTTCTAAACAGAACTCTGTACAAAAGCTGGAGCGAATCAAAGGAAAAACAAAAGAGTGAACTTAAACTACACATAGTCCTTAAAAAGAAAGCGCCAAAGAAATCAACAACATTCCCCAAATAGGAAAACAAGAAACTGAAATGAAACGAAGAAGCCCTAAAAGTGTCTTTTCAGTCTGTTTGAGGAACTTCGGAAGTGTGTGCCTACAAGGACATGGGAGAGAAAATCAGCTTTCAACGTCAAAGGTGCCGAGGCCATGAGCTGTTGTAGAGACGGAGAAACTGCGTCCTGATGAACGTGACTTTGGGTATTGCTTTTCGGTACCATTCTTGTGTGGAGTGCCCTGGAGTTGCCAAGGTGGTCTGGAGGTGCATGTGCCTGGTCCAGTCTTGGGGCACTCCTCCCTTCCTTCCCCTTGGGTCCTATCATCCCTTTTTCCTATATTCGCCATTTCAAGATTTCACCTCTTCGCAGTCTTGGTCGGTGGAAAGTTCTACGTCAGACAGTCCAACCTCCATTGCCATGATCAGCGAGATGTCAGAATCACTGCTTATAGCTGGTTCCTGCTCACCTGGTGGGGGGAAACAGAGTTCACAGTGAACACTGAGCTGTGTCTTCAGATGCTGATTATTTCAATACAATTGCCTTTAATAACATTTCATTGAAGCCCAAGAGAAGGTGTTAGGCTACTTCGTAAAAAAAAGAAAAAAAGTCTAGTTAGAGACTTTTCTCACACTACATCCCCAAATAAACTCTAAATGGGTCAAGAAGTTAAATGTAAACAAAAGAAACTAATGAAGCCAGAGGAAAATATATCTTATAAGTATATATCTAAGTAGGAAGAAAATGTATCTAACGTCTCTAAGTAAGGCAAGAAGTGCTACATGGAAAAGCAATTGAGCAATTCACAAATGAAAAGATTGATAAATGTATATAAAATGCTAAAAATATTTAAAACATGAAACATAAGATCAAAGGTATATGTCACACTGGGAATATCTGCAAAAATTTCACAGAGGATTGTATTCATTTTTTTGAACTTTATTTTATTATTTTTTTTATACAGCAGGTTCTTATTAGTTATCCATTTTATACATATTAGTGTATATATGTCAATCCCAATCTCCCAATTCATCACACCACCATTCCCCACCCCCCCACCGCGCCACTTTCCCCCCTTGGTGTCCGTACGTTTGTTCTCTACATCTGTGTCTCAGTTTCTGCCCTGCAAACCAGTTCATCTGTACCATTTTTCTAGCTCCACATATATGCGTTAATATACGATATTTGTTTCTCTCTTTCTGACTTACTTCACTCTGCATGGTAGTCTCTAGATCCGTCCATGTCTCTACAAATGACCCAATTTCGTTCCATTTTATGGCTGAGTAATATTACACTGTATATACGTACCACATCTTCTTTATCCATTCATCTGTCGATGGGCATTTAGGTTGCTTCCATGACCTGGCTATTGTAAATAGTGCTGCAATGAACATTGGGGTGCATATGTCTTTTTGAATTATGGTTTTCGCTGGGTATATGACCAGTAGTGGGATTGCTGGGTCATATGGTAATTCTATTTTTAGTTTTTTAAGGAACCTTCATACTGTTCTACATAGTGGCTGTATCCATTTACATTCCCACCAACAGTGCAAGAGGGTTCCCTTTTCTCCACACCCTCTCCAGCATTTGTTGTTTGTAGATTTTCAGATGATGCCCATTCTAACTGGTATGAGGTGATACCTCACGGTAGTTTTGATTTGCATTCCTCTAATAATTAGTGATGTTGAGCAGCTTTTCCTGTGCTTCTTGGCCATCTGTATGTCTTCTTTGCAGAAATGTCTGTTTAGTCTTCTGCCCATTTTTGGATTGGGTTGTTTGTTCTTTTAATATTGAGCTGCATGAGCTGTTTATATATTTTGGAGGTAAATCCTTTGTCCGTTGATTCATTTGCAAATATTTTCTCCCATTTTGAGGGTTGTCTTTTTGTCTTGTTTATGGTTTCCTTTGCTGTGCAAAAGCTTTTAAGTTTCATTAGGTCCCATTTGTTTATTTTTATTTCCATTACTCCAGGAGGTGGATGAAAAAAGATCTTGCTGTGATTTATGTCAAAGAGTATTCTTCCTAAGTTTTCCTCTAAGAGTTTTATAGTGTCCGGTCTTACATTTAGGTCTCTAATCCATTTTGAGTTTATTTTTGTGTATGGTGTTAGGGAGTGTTCTAATTTCATTCTTTTACATGTAGCTGTCCAGTTTCCCCAGCACCACTTATTGAAGAGACTGTCTTTTCTCCATTGTATATCCTTGCCTCCTTTGTCATAGATGAGTTGACCATAGGTGTGTGGGTTTACCTCTGGGCTTTCTACCTTGTTCCATTGATCTATATTTTTCTGTTTGTGCCAGTACCATATTGTCTTGATTACTGTAGCTTTGTAATATAGTCTGAAGTCAGGGAGTCTGATTCCTCCAGCTCCGTTTTTTTCCCTCAAGACTGCTTTGGCTATTCGGGGTCTTTTGTGTCACCATACAAACTTTAAGATTTTTTGTTCTAGTTCTGTAAAAAATGCCATTGGTAATTTGATAGGGATTGCTTTGAATCTGTAGATTGATTTGGGTAGTGTAGTCATTTTCACAATATTGATTCTTCCAATCCAAGAGCATGGTATATCTCTCCATATGTTGATATTATCTTTAATTTCTTTCATCAGAGTCTTATAGTTTTCTGCATACAGGTCTTTTGTCTCCCTCGGTAGGTTTATTCCTAGGTATTTTATTCTTTTTGTTGCAATGGTAAATGGGAGTGTCTCCTTAATTTCTCTTTCAGATTTTTCATCATTAGTGTATAGGAATGCAAGAGATTTCTGTGCATTAACTTTGTATCCTGCAACTTGACCAAATTCATTGATTAGCTCTAGTAGTTTTCTGGTGGCATCTTTAGGATTCTTTATGTATAGTATCATGTCATCTGCAAACAGTGACAGCTTTACTTCTTCTTTTCCAATTTGTATTCCTTTTATTTCTTTTTCTTCTCTGATTGCCGTGGCTAGGACTTCCAAAACTATGTTGAATGATAGTGGTGAGAGTGGACATCTTTGTCTTGTTCCTGATCTTAGAGGAAATGCTTTCAGTTTTTCACCATTGAGAATGATGTTGGCTGTGGGTTTGTCATATATGACCATTATTATGCTGAGGTAGGCTCTCTCTATGCCCACTTTCTGGAGAGGTTTTATCATAAATGGGTGTTGAATTTTGTCAAAAGCTTTTTCTGCATCTATTGAGATGATCGTATGGTTTTTATTCTTCAATTTGTTAATATGGTGTATCATGTTGACTGATTTGCATGTATTGAAGAATCCTTGCATCGCTGGGATAAATCCCACTTGATCATGGTGTGTGATCATTTTAATGTGTTGCTGGATTCTGTTTGCTACGATTTTGTTGAGGAGTTTTGCATCTATATTCATCAGTGATATTGGTCTGTAATTTTCTTCTTTTGTAGTATCTTTGTCTGGTTTTGGTATCAGGGTGACGGTGGCCTCATAGAATGAGTTTGGGAGTGTTCCTTCCTCTGCAATTTTTTGGAAGAGTTTGAGAAAGATGGGTGTTAGCTCTTCTCTAAATGTTTGATAGAATTCACCTGTGAAGCCATCTGGTCCTGGACTTTTGTTTGCTGGAAGATTTTTAATCACAGTTTCAATTTCATCACTTGTGATTGGTCTGTTCCTATTTTCTATTTCTTCCTGGTTCAGTCTTGGAAGGTTATACCTTTCTAAGAGTTTGTCCATTTCTTCCAGGTTGTCCATTTTATTGGCATAAAGTTGCTTGTAGTAGTCTCTTAGGATGCTTTGTATTTCTGCGGAGTCTGTTGTAACTTCTCCTTTTTCATTTCTAATTTTAATGATTTGAATCCTCTCCCTCTTTTTCTTGATGAGTCTGGCTAATGGTTTATCAATTTTGTTTATCTCCTCAAAGAACCAACTTTTATTTTTATTGATCTTTGCTATTGTTTTCTTTTTTTCTATTTCATTTATTTCTGCTCTGATCTTTATGATTTCTTTCCTTCTACTAACTTTGGGTTTTGTTTGCTCTTCTTTCTCTAGTTCTTTTAGGTGTAAGGTTAGGTTGTTTATTTGAGATGTTTCTTGTTTCTTGAGGTAGGATTGTATTGCTATAAACTTCCCTCTTAGAACTGCTCTTGCTGCATCCCATAGGTTTTGGATTGTCATGTTTTCATTGTCATTTGTCTCTAGGTATTTTCTGATTTCCTCTTTGATTTCTTCAGTGATCTCTTGGTTATTTAGTAATGTATTGCTTAGCCTCCATGTGTTTGTGTTTTTTATGTTTTTTTCCCTGTAATTGATTTCTAATCTCATAGCATTGTGGTAAGAAAAGAGGCTTGATATGATTTCAATTTTTTAAGATTTACTGAGGCTTGAATTGTGACCCAAGATGTGATCTATCCTGGAGAATGTTCCATGAGCACTTGAGAAGAAAGTGTAATCTGCTGTTTTTGGATGGAATGTCCTATAAATATCAATTAAATGTCTCTGCTCTATTGTGTTATTTAAAGCTTGTGTTTCCTTATTAATTTTCTGTTTGGATGATCTGTTCATTGGTGTAAGTGAGGTGTTAAAGTCCCCCACTATTATTTTGTTACTGTCGATTTCCTATTTTATAGCTGTTAGCAGTTGACTTATGTATTGAGGTGCTCCTATGCTGGGTGCATATATATTTATAATCATTATTTCTTCTTCTTGGATTGATCCCTTGATCATTATGTAGTGTCCTTCCTTGTCTCTTGTAACATTCTTTATTTTAAAGTCTATTTTATCTGAAATGAGTATTGCTACTCCAGCTTTCTTTTGATTTCCATTTGCATGGAATATCTTTTTCCATCCCCTCACTTTCAGTCTGAATGTGTCCTTAGGTCTGAAGTGGGTCTGTTGTAGACAGCATATATATGGGTCTTGTTTTTGTATCCATTCAGCAAGCATGTGTCTTTTGGTTGGAGCATTTAATCCATTCACGTTTAAGGTAATTATTGATATGTATGTTCCTATGACCATTTTCTTAACTGTTTTGGGTTTGTTTTTGTAGGTCTTTTCTTCTCTTGTGTTTCCCACTTAGAGAAGTTCCTTTAGCATTTGTTGTAGAGCTGGTTTGGTGGTGCTTAATTCTCTTAGCTTTTGCTTGTCTGTAAAGCTTTTGATTTCTCCATTGAATCTGAATGAGATCCTTGCTGGGTAGAGTAATCTTTGTTACTTTTATCACTTTAAATAAGTCATGCCACTGCCTTCTGGCTTGTAGAGTTTCTGTTGAGATATCAGCTGTTAACCTTATGGGAGTTCCCTTGTATGTTATTTTTCATTTTTCCCTTGCTGCTTTCAATAATTTGTCTTTGTCTTTAATTTTTGCCAATTTGATTACTATGTGTCTCGGCGTGTTTCTCCTTGGGTTTATCCTGTATGGGACTCTCTGCGCTTCCTGGACTTGGGTGGCTATTTCCTTTCCCATGTTAGGTAAGGTTTTTACTATAATCTCTTCAAATATTTTCTTGGGTCCTTTCTCTCTC